TGCAGGCCAAGTTATTGAAGATGTTTTAAAACATTTACTATAACTACTGACATATTTTGAAGACCTTGAAATTGCCAAAGCGTTTCTTCTGGTTAAGCTTCCCTATAGTAGTGGAAGCACAAACATCGAAACAATCTTTCATTCCACAACAAGACAGCAAGATGCATACATATATCTCAAAATCTAGCGAGTGGTGGAATCATAATAATCTCAAAGTTGAAGCTTTGGCTGTAGCAAAAGGCCAGTCACAACAGATTTCGAACTAAAGGGCTCAGCAGTTTTCCATTTTATATCAATCTTCGACAATCAGTTGGTAGCTATCATCAAATAAATTTATGTAACTCCGGTTTAAAGGTTGAAGTTCTTTGGCGTAGGTCTACCTCACATCTTAACTAAAAATACCTGTTCAAAAGAGAACGCGTTTTAGTTACGGTTGAGATGTCTCCAAGGCCATGCTTACTTGTGGTGGTAGAGCATTTTTTTAAATAGTCTGTACCCTGTATCAGGGACCCTCATATCCCTAAAAGGTAACATATTTTATAAACACTGGTCATCATCTTTCTTTTGTATTGCACAATTAATGTGCTTTGTCAAAATTAAAGAGATGAACTGGAATAGATAAAGAAAGAATCACACAGTATGCTTCAGAAGTCATACCTCTTGTAAAATCGTTTCTCACATCAATATTAATGAGTCTGCCGTGGAAATATTTCAGGGATACAGCACTGCAATCACGGACCTTGACTGTGTTTCATAAATAAATGGTGTTTTCCGTTTCTGTTTTGTATAAAACCAGCGAGTGCAAAAACAGCCTGCGTTCAACTGAGAGATCCCCCGGGGTAGTAAAAAGCATGAATAAAAATGAACAAACACTGATAAAGAGTACATAAAAATGTATATGGACAAACAAACACAGAGAGGGTATAAGTGCAGCCGTTTAAGGAGCAAAAAAACACCACCGGAATACTACCAAGTCAACAAGAATGTGGAAATTGAAGCTTGTTTTTTGTTGTAGTCTTGCTCTGTTGGTTGATTTCCGCCATTGAATAGAATGCATGTAAGTTACCTCGTCTACGTTTGCTGACGAAAAATGCACAGGAGCCATAAGCTAAATCAATATCAATTCATTCAATTCACATTTGGTAACAGACAGTAGCTTGAATACGCCTGCTTGTAACTTGTTTGTTTTCAGTCACTATACTGCTAAACGTATGGCCATGAGCGGTTATTGCAATCAAAATATATTTTTTTATTTTCAGTTGTTTTTGGACAATTTTTGGTCGCAGAATACTATCGGTTCAGAATTCTTTGACAGGAAGCTTGCCATTAAGGTGGATTTCAAAGATCTAGTCTTTATGATTCCCTTGTTGACACTACGCAAAATTTCGCGTTTTTTCGGTTACATAACGAATGACTATAACGTTTTGATTATGATTACTATATTAATGAAATGTTAGTTAAACCTTTTACTGAAAACCAGACTTGTCTGACGGCTTGAGTTCAATGTGTGCGATAGAGAAGTGTGTAGACACATATGTTAGGAAGAGGTAGAAGTCGGCTGGATAGCGAAGCTCATCACTGCGTTGCCTAGCAACGCTGACGCGGCAATTTGCCGCATTACCAATATCTTACACCAGTTCCTTGAATTAAGATTCAGGTTGAAAATATGCGTTAGCTGATTCTCTACGCCCAAATAATGGTTTTATATTGAGCGTACACATTTTTGAATTGTTAATTATATGGAATCTATTCAGGATCTAGGAGGCCTTAAGGGCGTTTCACAATTGTAGGAACGACTGACGATATGGCCCTAAGTCGCATCAAAATAGAAATAAATAATTCTAATCAAAATTAAAACAAAATATTAAATTGAATGTTCGAACAGACCTCATTCTTGGGTTTGACAGTAACCTAACCTATTGTAGAAGCTTGTGCGAACATTTTCTGGTGTAATGTGCTGGCAACAAGGCAGATTGCACGACCTGTCTGACCTTCGCTCTTCAGCCGGTTTGTATCTCTCTCTAACGTGTGATGATACACACTTCTCGCGCGTCTCTCTCGTACACATTGAAGTCAAGCCGTCAGAGAAATTTGGGTTTAAATGTATATGGTCTGTAGATGGAAAGTATGCATGGATATACGTGTGTGAGAATATTTGTTAAAATTTGACCTTGAATGAATAGTTTTGCAGAAGTAGATGCGGTGGAGAATCTGAATATCGTATTAGGACCAAGTTATAGAATTTAGTTAAATTTTGAATGATGCCAGTATTTTGACTTATAGACTGACTGTTGTAAGCAATCTTTAAAAACGGGCAAGGACAACTTAACAAAACTTCAGACAAGAGTACATGAAATATCTCTATTTCGGTAATTCCGAGGACCAACAACAAATGACATCAGATATGTATGCATATTAGAGTTCGAAACATACGTATATAGAATTGCAAGCAAATATTTGTCATACCATCCAGCAACAGAAATGCCATATAAACAGAATTTCTATTATATTTAAATGTTATTCAGAGCAAAAATATAACGCAGGTAAATATTTGCAGCACAAACGTATACTACCGCATCGTTGAAATTGCTGCAACCGTTTTCATGTCCTCAGCGGTAATGGAATTGGAATTTTTATTTCATGATCACGAATCGTTCTGTGTTTATATATTTACCAAGTAACCTGTCATTTGCCAACTACATACATGCATGCAGGCATGGCTTTTAAAATCGAGTCCAGTGTATACAAGGACCTAAAAGAGCTATTATTGATCAGATAGAATGAGCGATTTGCATCGCTTCAGGTTGAATTGAGGTGTAAAGATGAACCCTGGCTAACTCAAAATCATTCGATTATTCATGGCGCCCAGATAAGGTTTTTCCTGGAATTTTGTTTCTGAGAAACTGTTCTGACTACATTATTTATACTTGGTAAGATTCAGAGAAGACTGATCCATCACACTTTCTTAATTTCGTTGCTCGGTATATTCAGTTGTGTACACGAGGTCTGTAAATTAGGCGATGAGAGTGATTTTCTTATGCAAATACACTTACAATTTTTTATTGACACCCTTAAAATAACTTCATTCTAAAGCCACGCATCGCTGGAGACGGTTTTTTTCACTCCTCATAGCAGTGTTGGAACTCAGATGCTGGGATAGCGTTCAGCTGGTCGGTTACAGCTGTTTGAACGTTTTCCACTGTTACAAAATGAGTTCCCTTAAGGTGGCTTTCCACCTTCGTGGAGAGATAAAAGTCATAAGGGCTCTGAGCAGCAATATGAATGTTTTTACTGGTCAAAAACTCGTTTATTGACATTACTGTGTGACAATGAGCATTATGCAACACCCAGATGGTTTTTATCTGACCAACGGTGCTGTGAGTCCGATTATTCTGACTGCCAACCGGCAATCCGAATTCACAGGTCAATATTTTCATCAGCTCTTGAAGATGAAGGCCTTCCGCTTCGTGGTTCATCTTCAATCAATCTGCCCTCTCCCTTCTGAAAATGTCTTAAACCACCAAAAATCCTGGGCTCTTTACAAAACACTATCTCCGTAGGCCTGCTGAAGTGTAGCAAGAGTCGCTGTTGCACTGCAAGCAAATCTTGATAGTACACCGTTGCTCGAAATTGATGTTACTCAACTTGTACTGAAGGCGGACCACATGTTGCCCTGTCTCACCTTCAAGCCCAGCACCTCCAGTGTTGCCAGATCGAACGCTACTTTGCCGGTCTCATCACTTAATTTACAGACCTTGTATTCATTCATCTTGACCAATTTGTTCAATTCGGTATCTGATACCAATAATCAGACACATTGTACCAGTCAGATACCAACTGACATGCGTTCGCTAATTAATGATGATAAATGATTTAGCTGTACATTGCATATATTCGGAAGTAATCTATGTCTCGATTGACAATTGACAGGCTATGTGGTCGCAGATAGTGTAAACAAAATTGTTTCATATATTATGGACGGTTCGTGATATGTCAGCGTTTCTCCTCGATTTCACCATTAATAAGCTGCAAATTTGTAGCGTTTACAACCCAACTAATGGCTAACAATTGAATTATTTGATACTTTAGATGTTAATTTTGTAAAAATTTCTATAAGTTCACGTACTCTGTGCTTTCTTTGTGATTCTTTCCACACTGTTCGTTTTCGGGGAGATTAAAAATTCATTTTGTTCATATAATATGAGGCGTAGCAGATGAAAACAGTTTCAAACATGATAGATATTAATTTTCTTATTAATCAGGTGAGAGTAATACCATCTGCATGTTATCATAAGGGCTAGAATGGAATTTCCGAAAAGTTACTAAAGGTGTAAGAGCGGTTTTGACCTGAATCTCGCCTTTTGTAGTTTATAGTAATGAGGACGATTGCTGTTATTATTATGTTCACTATTGATTACATTTTTTCGCCGTACACGGCGTGCAAGGAGTACTTAAGAATGATGGCTCGCCCAGTTAGTAAGGTATTAACAGTATATTATAAATGTACATTCAACTAGCGCTGCTACTAAAATATTTGCATTTAATTTTTTATTTTATGAATTGGGATAACAGTATCGCCTTTAATTCTATTATCCGTGTTTTAATAGTAGAACCAACCAACAGAAATCTATTGAAATATAAGATCCGAACTTATACAGAGTTTGCTAATGATTGAGCAATCAATCTAACCAATTTTCAGTTGTTCCTGGTCTTTAGGGCTGTTTGCAAGACCTAAGTAAAAGTCCGTTCAAGTTAAATTAATCATTTCAATTTTGTGTGGTAGGTATAAAATACCCAGACAAGTACATTGTGCTCCTCAAACGGCTGTTCAGAGGACAAGGGAGCATCAGGCTCTGTAATACGATCTCATAATAAAAAAAATAAAAATTCAAACTAAAAATCCAACAGGCATGTAACACGGATAGACGAACAGAACAGATAGACAGAGAACGAACAATTTCATGTGTTGTCTTTTTTGGTTTTCATTTGCTGCCACTTACCGCGGAGTAAAGGAGTTCCAGAACTCGCTACATTTTGAGGGTTTGTGTCACACGCACAAGAGTAGTAGCGGCAGCAGGCCAACACAGGGAACACAATAGACGGGACAGTTACTAACCACACTGCGCGGTGCAGCTCATGCTCGGATAACATACATTTTATTTTTCTCTTGTTAGGTTGATATTAATGTTTTATTTTCAGAATGGATATCATTTTCCTATTAATTATCAAGCTATGATTTACACTTTTTTAATATATTACTATTATTTTTATTCATACTGTTGAATGACCTTGAGCTGGTCTCAACCTCTATTTTTAATATAGCAATTTATTATTTTTGATATAGTTGCATTCATATTGTAAGTTATCAGTAAATTCATACATGAGTCATGTAAATTCATGAGTCTCAAAAGCGTACCTTTTTTTATTTCAACCTTTGTTTTGCTTTTAACTCATTTAAGATAGTCATATTAATTATTGTAGCTGATTAATTTAGCTATTAGTCTTCCTGTAGTTATATTTTTAGTTTTTTTTTTATTGCACTGTATTTTGTTTAGTTTTAAAATAAACGAAACAGGCTGCTTTGTATTTTCATAAACCGCAAAAATTGACCAGCTTATACAGGGTGACCCAACAAAAAGGTCGCGCTCCCATTTGTGACTCGCCTTTTTAGGGGGATGTCTTTTCACTTATAGCCGTACAACGCAGGTTGATCAAAAAATAAGATATCGCGTTAAACTTGGAATGGAAACCCCCATTTTTTCATTTTTATGTTTTCCATGAAGTTTTTAGTAACTTTTATATAATAAAGTTTATACCTATCTTCAATCGTTGTGAAGCTATTTGGGGTTATAATAAAATTCGACTATCAATACTGATAATAATGGAATGCACAGCAAAAAATAATAATCATGGATACCAGCAAGAACATTTAGCAGCAGTCAGTGTCATCGTATGTCATAGAAACACTTTGTCTTTCATTTCAAATTGTTAAGTTACCTGTCTAGTTGTGATAAATATTGAACAATGGCGTATTCAGTTTGAGAAAGGGTAGAAATAACATAAATTTATACCAAAATCATTCCAAGAGCTACTGCCCGGTTGTTTAAACTGTTACATGGAGACAAATGTATTAACGAAGAGTATGTGGCTAAGTTGATAAGAAAATTTGAAAAAACTGGATCTGTGTCTAATATTCTCCATAATCTCCATAGAGAATATCGACCAGTTAGAAATGAAGCCGCAGAAATAGCACTTTTGGGATACGTAGCACTTAACAGCACCCAAAGCACTCGTGGACTGGCTACTTCAGGATTTACAGCTCAACAGTAGAGATAATTTTGAAAGACAATAAATTTCAGCCGTACAATAAATTCGAAACAAAATCTTTGTTATTGCAATACCTCTTTATAGCAAATTAATTTTTACTTTAACTTTAATGTGCGTGTAAACTGTAAGTTGTTTTTTGTTTTTTCAGTACTCGGATACTTGTTTTTAATTTTAAAGTAAAGTCTTGTTACTATGGGAACCCGACTGATTATTATTTTCTCGGTATCAGAATTTCTAGAATTTTATTATAAACTCAAATAGCTTCTCAACGATTGAAGATAGGTATTCAAAAGTTACTAAAAACTTCAATATCTTATTTTTGGATCACCCTGAATTGTACGGCTATAGATGAAAAGATGTCCGCATAGAATTGGTTTATTTTAGTAGCATTCATGTAGTGGTACATCATCCATTTCTCGTTTTATTTGGACACATTTTGCTCCCCCAGTTACTTTCTTTGATTTGTTCACTTTTAGTTTCAGTCATGTTAATGGTGACTAACATTTACTAGTAGTACTAGTCATTTAGTCAGTTGCATGATAAATTTTCGTCATGGTAAGCAACAAGCATCCGTATGAATTCACATACTGTTCTTCTTAATTTAATTTCATCTCCAATACCTTTGATTGCAACTGAGCGAATTAAATTTCGATATATTTTGATGCATATACGTTTAAACTGGGTGTGATAATTTGAGTTTAACCTTCTTTCAATAGTAACTGAACTGGGTGTGATGATTGAAGTTTAAATCTCTCTCAGTGCTAACATACTGAGAACAACTGCATATTTTTGATAATACTAATGCACTACCATTTTATTTTTCATATACTTTTTTGTAACATATTTTAATTAGCAGTATTATCGTGGAGTTGGCAATTTTATTATAAAACGTCTCTAATATTAGTTTTTTAAATTTTCGTTTATTCGTGACTTAGTTTTTAGTTAAAATTTATTAAGTACGTTTCCGAGCATGAACAAAAGCGTTTTGGGATATCATCGATGCCAAAATTAAATAAACTTGGTACTCTTTTGACAGTTTCACCAACTGCGTTGGTATTTCGGCCATTTGCATTTAGATTACATATACTATGCTTTTGTAGCTTTAAAGTCATTTACCAGTTTTTACATGAAGTCGTACTCATGTTACAGAGCAACATAGTCGTCATTAAACTTCAGGAGATGCAGTTTACAGATATCAAAATAAGTGCACCCGATTCAATGCAATTTGAGCTAGAAATAATGTCAGCTATGACGATTGAAGTTTTATACCGATTTCGACAGTTAAGATTCTAATAATTCGATTCGTCATCCTCGGCCGACAAATCAGTCTAAAGGTAGGTGTAGCAACATTTTCGTATGACCCATATTTTCTTCGGCCTTTACCTTCAATATAGATAGAAAACAACACTTGAATGTGGACTGTCAAAAGGATTTTACCTGTGACATCATCAGAATGATATTCAGTACTTTTATGATTCATCAAAACATCTTAGAGGATGACATCCCAAAAATGAACTGGTAACATTCATTCTGCTTCTCTACACTCGGTTGTGACATAACAATATGACGGACACAGTCAAAATAAAGAACGGAACAAAACAGAAAAATAATATCGCTACTTAGACCATGGTAGACACAAGTACACGCATTCAAATCACAAATTTTAATCACTATTGATACATTGCGATTGCGCAAAACGTGTAGTGATATTAATTTTGAGGTACGTTATCATCTCTATTCGTTTTCGACTGTCAGAGCCTACGAGTTGAGACTACGTAAAAGCAGCTAGTCACGGATTTATTTGTATCCGAATTCTCATAGTGTGTAGTGAGGATCAAAGTTTACTGGATATAAGTCAATTTTTTGATAGTTCTGTCATTTGTATTTTCTGTGTTATTTTTTAAAAGTGCGAGTGTTTGTAGACAATTCTACTGTTAGACTCTTTTAAGATATGGTACTTCTGACATAATTTGCAAAGATCGGCACAAACCTAATGAATGTAGATGTTTCCACCGGTAAGTATTATTATTAAGTTTATAAGTACAACGTTATCTTTGGTAGTCATAGGTAGACAAACGAGTTAAAATTATGCAATAAAACTAGGCAATGTAAACTGCTTGGCTCCTTTAACATATTCGTTGGTCCCAGCGGTCCGTATGAACTTTGATTTTGGTTAAATTCTTGTAGGGCACTAGACCTACCAGGCCTGGTTGCCCAGACACCGGACAATATCTTGGAGAAGGAAGGAAATAAAGAGGACAAGAGGGCAGAGCAAAGAGGAAGCAATGGGATGGTTGGAGGGGTGTCTTGGCATGTTATTGCAAAAATCTCAATTGGTCTAGATCTAGACTCTAGACTCTAGAGGATTAATTTAATGTTTGATGTTCAAAAACATAATTTGGGTTGGACTTAATCTTGCATGATTGCATTTAGTTTACAGAGCAAGTAGGTTTAAACATTTTTGAGAACTTCCTCGACTGTGTAGTCCACTGGCTCACGCAGCAGAGTTTTGCTACGTGACTCCGCTTTTATTTATACGAATTAACTTATAACCAATCTCATATAAAGAATTTAAACGAATATCACAATTCCGACAATAACTAGATTATTTATAACCAGGAAGCCACATTAATTCCAATTAATAAATTTGCGTCATTTTGCGAGTGCATAGAAATTGCGTTATATCTGTAGCATAGTAACGAAATCAATAAAATGTTATTTGCGCGAATCGCAAAATGTTGTTATGTGTTCCATATTACCTAGTGTGTGCTGATGCTGTACTATGATCAGCTAATGGATAATGGCAATGGATATATGAAATATTAAGCTACGGCAGACTGTAATAGCATCCATTTCATATTCATGATAGCGCATTGGTGTCGGTTGTCAGAGAGTCAGTGGGTCTCTTTTTCTATAAGGTGTTTAGTGTTTATCGTCAATTTCGACTCGATTCCCAAGAAATACATGACATTTTCTATACCTTATCTGATGTAGACTGTTAAGTAACACGTTAAATATTTGTCACTATGCATCCGGAATAGCTTTTTTGGCATCTTTTACTGTGCAAAATCTTCCGAAGTTTGAGCGTTCTTCTGCAGTCTTTTACTTGACTAATGTCGGTATTGAAGTCATTCTTATAGGTTTTTATATCCTATGAACATTTTATTGTTAAAATCACATCCAACGAAAAATAAACGATCTTTATAACTTCAGTAGGTGCTTGCTTCTGTAAAATTTTGCATAGATGTTTCTATGATTACTATGCGTCAGTAGGTCAGATGCTCCCTCAATGTGAGTTGATAAATGTGAAAGGTGTCCAATAATTAACGCAAGATTTGAATATGCCGCCATGTTTGCAATAAATTGCACGCAGCCCTGAAAAATTAACATTTTGACAGCAGAGACGTTAGGGTTAGTATAAATGGAACTTTATACGAGACAACAACGATTTTCATTATTGAACAATATTTCAAAAATTTTATGCAAAATACCTCGCCAACTGTGAAAAGATTAATTGAAAAATTGAGGGAGACTGGATCAGTTGGAGACGCTAAACACACCGGTCGCCCAAAAACAAGCCGTTCAAATGTCCATGTCGGAGCAGTGCGTGAGAGTTTTGGTGCAAGCCCATTTATGTCAATTCTGCGCCGCGGACAACAATTGCAAATTTCAAGAAGATGTCTACAACCTGGGTCTCCATGCTTACAAAATTCAATCAACACAACAACTGAAGCCTACAGTTCATGAATAACGAAGAGAGGTGGCGGAAAGGATTATTGAACATCAACAAGTGGGCGCTGATTTTTCGAGCAAAATCGATGAAGCACATTTTCACCTTGATGGCTTTGTTAATCGCCAAAATTGCCGTCATTGGGGTTCGTAGAACCCACGTATGATTGTCGGAGAATAAATGCACCTACAACTCTTTTGGTGTGGATTTTGGGCTGGGTGCATCATTGGACCATACCTTCTTGAAATTGAGGCTGGTCAAGCAGTAACTGTTACTGATGCTCGCTTTCACGACATTGGATGCTACGGATATGTCCAAGATGTGGTTTCAACAAGACGGTTCCACATGCCGTAGAGCCAGTGAAACAATTCAATTTCTGCATTAGACATTTCTTGGTCGTGTACTTTTCGGTGATCAGAATTGGCCCCCTAGATCGTGTGATTCAACATCATGAGATTTCCTCTTATGGGCTTTTTTAAAGACAAAGCCCTATGTCAACAACCCCACAATCACCCGTGCATTACAAGAGGAAATTAAATTCAGCCACCATAATGCAGTCATGAAAAATTTCGACAAAAGAGTGCGTTTGTGTCAGCAAAGCCGTGGGGGCCATTGGCCCGATGTGATATTCCATACATAATCCTATCCTAAGTACTTTATGGTTCAATAAAAAATTACAATCTGAATACTTAAAGCTGTGTTCTATTAATTCAAAACTTGCGTTAATTGGGGGACACCCTTTAGATGTTGCAAATAGCTGTTCGCTTTAGAATGTTGGTTCTCATGTGTAAAATGTAAAATTATCGGAAATCCGCGCCTATGCTATGAGACAGTATGTACAGCATTAAATTTAATTTATATGGTTATTTTTAGTGCTGATTACCCATTTGTTTTCAAACATTAAACATTACACGTGTATTGATTGAAAAGATAATTGTTTAATTTCCAATTTTACAGTTGATACGATGTTTATAAACTTTTTTTGCCATATTGCCTTTGCTTCAATACTATTGCTGCAAATGACTATATTTGTATATTGAATTTGGATATTCCAATATCTCCTACATTTAATAGAAAAGTCGACAGTGAATTATTTAAAATGTATTTCTACTACATAAAACAGCCGGTATTGAGACAGGAGTCGTTCTCCTCTAGGCCGAGTTATAGTGTCCAAAATATTGAGGTCCTAATAATAAGTGAATTTTACGAGTATACCCGAGGGAACCAATGTATCGGTTTTCCAAATACATAGTAGAATAGTAGTAGTTTGTATGTGTATATAGTGCAGGGTTTGTCCGGAAAGTAATAGGACTGAGTCAATTTAAAAAAAATTATTGAGCCAATCGTTACAATTCTTTAAAAACTTTCAAAATAGGCTCCTTCTGCGTCGATGCCAGCGCGATTTAGAAGCATTGAAGGCGTCACGGAAGGCATTCTCCGGACTAGCCTTGAGAGCCGCGGTGCATGCTGCTTGGATCCCCTCTGTCGTCTCAAAATGCTTGCCTTTCATCGGCCTTTTCAGGCGAGGAACCAAAAAAAAAAGGCCGGGGGGCCACATCTGGGCTGTAGCATCGTTTTCACTTTGGATTTACTCATTCTTCCCTTTTTTGGGCCAGGAGACGCCGTCGTGTGCCACTCGGAAGATTGCCTCTTTGTCTCGGGATCATACTCAAAGATCCACGACTCGTCACCTGTGATTACGTTATTCAAAAATTGGGGGTCACTGTCACACATGTTCAAATTTTCTTGACACACTTCCACTCGCCGCAATTTCTGGTCGTCAGTGAGCACTTTTGGGACCATCTTCGCGCACAACTTGCGAATGTTCAAATGCTGTGTCACAATGTCATCAACCACAGATTTTGGTAGATTTAACATCTGGGTAATTAAACGAATACTTAGTCGACGGTCTGAGTTCAAAACTTTGCACACACGGGTCACATTACCGGTGTTTGTCGAAGTCGAAGGTCTTCCAGCACGGTCATCAGCGACCTCTTCCCGGCCTCCAAAAAGGCCTGGTGCTACCGAAACACACCACTTCTTGCTAAAGCAACACCTGGGTAAGCCTGCTTGATCATATCAAACGTCTCTGTCGCATTTACCGAGTTTCACACAGAATTTAACCGCGTACCTCTGCTCTAACGAACGCTGCATTTTCGGCTTGCACCACTCACAGAAACACGTCGCGCGAAAATGCCTGTCCTGACTCTCCAAGTGCTCGGAGACAACTGACCAGTCGCTCATTCGTTAGCTAGGAACGCCCTCTACCGAATCCAGTCGGTGCGCGCACGCTCCGAAATACAGTCATGGCGGAAGAAAATGAGTCCTATTACTTTCCGGACAAACCCTGTATATCTTCCAGATAGTAATTGCCAAGGGTTCTTTCGTCTTTGACAGATACGGTTATCTTGAAACTGGTGTCGCAAAACAAATGATTAATACTTGTGTCTACCGTGTCTTCATATAAGGACGTCCAAAAGTTGAAGGATAATCCTGCAGCTACATATAGGTCATTCTGGGAACTACTATACAATAACGTTTTGTATAGTTTTAGACATTGTGATTATTCAATTTTTTTTCTCCCAAATCTGCCTTGCATTTAGTTCATCCTCTACTATTTCTACATATAACCGTACCAATCCTACCAAAGTCTAAGTTTTAATGAGAACTCGTTTTCACGTCCGACTGACACCCTGTCGAGTGAAAGAGTCAAGTATGTGATCACTGTGGCGCTAATTTTTTATTGGGTTTGCTTTAGACACTTCGCATATCAAGCTGAGATGTCTATGGCAACAAATCGAGCCAGCCTCAACCATGCTAGTGGTTACTCCTGCAGGTTAAAAAATGTCTTATGTAAAATATAGGGCATGCATAACAGTTAATGGCGCCTATAATATTAATAAATCAATGAATGCTATACAAATCATATTTCAACATCAATCCTGCCCTTTTCTTGCCTTCAAGCCATTTTTTGATATGTGCGAAAATATCCATTATAACGACAATTAAAAGGAAGTAACAGGATAGCGCAAATAACAATAATTCCACTTAAACATTGCCAAAAATTGCCAAGAACCTTTTGGACTGGCACAGTGATCATACTTAATTCTCTCACACTATAGGGTGCCAAAATAATACCGGGTGGGATATAAAGCTTCATTGTGCGAGTGCTGACGAAAACTATGGCAGATGATTAACTGAATGCAAGCTAGTTTTTCAAAAAAAAAAAAATGAATGCTGAAGATGTCGAAAACTAAGACTTTTGATGAAACAACATGTTTCCATATAGTAGGTCATGACGTGACCTATTTGCAGTTGCAGGATTATTCTTCAATTTCTGAACACCCTGTATAAACCTATATCTAAAAGAGGTAAAAGAATAGCGTTTGGGTAACCTAACAATTGCAAAACGAATCATCAAGCAGCCTTACAACTTATATCACGACACCGACTCTTTACACCGCTTCGTGTCAAGTAGTTGGTGGAGTGAACCTAATTTTGCAACTGTTAGTCAAGGAAGGTTTCCTGAATGACATGTGCACAATAAGTGTATTAGACTCGTGTAGTAATATGGAGGATTTATTTCAGATAGATAATTGAGTAGACTAAAACAATATTGTAACACATGTTCAGGGCATATTATCCTCGATTGGATTATATACTGAGCTTTGGGATTCCATCCACAGAAACTAGATATCAGCATCTAACAATACACGACAGTGCTGTTCGCAGTTATCATTTAATCTATTTCGTCACTTAAAATGTTTGAGCGGTTTCTCGACAGGTATCCCAGAAGCTCTGTAAATAAAATTTACCAAACGCATACCCAATCTGAAATAATCACCTGGTCATCTCATATTCGGCAAGTAAGGGGAGGGGTACATACTGCAACCCCTGAGCGACAGCCCGATCTGAGATTAGGCGGGGGTAGAGGGTATGACGGGGTAATAGACGCACACAGGGATGATAAGACGAAACACAATGGGGGGCCATGAGGTTAGTCCATTCAAAACGGTCCAATAATGAATTTATTATCTTACATATTTATTATTGTAGGTATTGAAAATTACTCTTAGTGGTAAAGTTTTTATATTTAATCTACCTACTACTCCCTAGTATATATTCCAGAGTAAGGATGAGGCTTCAAACGGTTAGGTTAATGGTGTATTTGGTTACTTTGAAGCTGCAATTTATTGATTTGTTCCACTTTAAAGATATACAAAATTTAGCTCAGTGTTTGCATGTTCAGTCATAGTTTCTGCACGGCTGAAGTTAAAGTGCTTTCTGAAAAGTATCCCAAGAAGGTTATAAACAAAAGTACGTACAGTCAAAACCACTTTGGATCTGATTTTTTAAAACTCTGATATAAAGGATTTCACAGTCTGATATACAACTTTGTTATTACCATTAATAAGCTATATTATGTCAAGCTGTTTCCAATAGCAGACCAATACTGGACATATTACGACAAACAGGGCTTGTATTGACATGATTTATGTATTTCTACTTCTTCGAGTAGATCGTGTACCACTCTGATTCAGAAAATATTTGTTTTTCGATGATATGAAGCTGATTTCCTAATAATTCGCTTGTCCAAGGGATACTATTTGGAGTTGCACTATTTTAGATGTTGATCTCAAAATACAAGTAGTTGATTGTTAGGAGTGGGTTGTGTTATTGACATTTTCAGAGGACTACCCAATTTGGACCGTCTAAAATGGAGTGACCCCAAGAATAGGCCCTCCGGGAGGAAGAGGGGTGGAAGGTTCATTGGTGACTGCGTGGTGGTCGTGGCAGGGTGGTCAAGAAGGATAGAGCTCAGCTAGAGGAAGTGCGAATGTCCAGGAGGTCAATGGACCCGCTAAGGTCAGACGTTCAGAGTTGAAGAGGGCTTAGACCTAATATGTGACAGTGGTATGGATTTCCCAAACAATCTTTTTAATAAGCCGAATCATCATGTGTTTCGACTGTATGTGAAAGGCATTCATTTATAAAACGCATACTATCCCGAAAAGTACCATCCGACTTTCAGAAATGTTAGGACAAGTATCCATCGTATTCATCAGATGATAAAATTCAATCACTGAAGTTATTACCGTCTTAGTTAGTTTTAAATCACTTTTCAAAGAAAGGACGTGTTTTATAAATTTCGTTCTTATAAGTGGGTAATATTCAGAAAACGATAATTTGAATCTCAAGTACAGGTTTCAAAAATAATAAAAATCTTGCAATCATGAAGACTTGGTATGTACAAGTGCAGCAACTGATTATAAGAATCTTCAAAGAAATTACCTGCACCTAAAACCTCAACCCTAGAAAGTCTGCTCATATAGAGGCTTCGCATTGACCACCCGAACGTGCAGAGCTGAGTCCGGTGAAATTTTTGGCGGAATAGGGATTCGCGTAGCAAGGCAGATGGTGTGAACTGATGCCAAGTGGACACGTTCAACAAATAAAGAATTTCACAAAAAAGGAACAGCTTCATAAAAATAACAATCAGAAATGCAGCCCGAAGCTGTTGGTTATACATGTCATTTTTTCAGTTTTTGAGGTTTTTTAAGATGCAGCAAGCTTAATCTGTCTCACCATCAGGATCACTGACAACCTGGTGAAACAGCTATCTCTGAAAGAAGCGAATAACTGAAACTTCCTCTTTGGTGAGTGGCACTTCGTAACATTGCAACGAGTCCACTTTGAGCCATCATTCAGTCATCGCCATCGCCCTTCCATGAAGCTCTAAATCGCGATCTTGCGTTCGAATGAATGGCCACTCACCTTTCCGTGTATTCGTCCATGTGGGCGTATGACTGCACCGAGTTCTCCTCGATCAGGAATTTAACACGTTGGTAGAAGGAGGCTGTCACCGACGGAGGTTGCTTTCTCAGCAGTACCTCCACTGGATCGTTGCTGCTGATGCACATGATGTGGTCTGCGCAACCTGGGTGGGAACAACATTCGCTGTCCGAACAATCGGTCATTCCATCTGGAAAAAAGCAAATCAATATTAGTCCTTGAACTCAAAATGGAATTGAAGTGTAAACTATGATTGAATTCTAATACAACGAACTTGTAATATTTGGCTTTATTTCAGCAAGAACCAATACCAACAAGTCAAGAGAGGATCGAGAAAAAGGCGGAAACAGGTAACAAATAGTGCTACATGCTATCGTAGTTAAAGAACCAGCAAAGAAAACAGTGATGCTTAGGGTTAATTTGAGGATACGATATACCGAATATGTTTTCTGGAGATGAAAAAAACTGAATTTTCTCCAAACCGTTTATATTTTTCCTCACTTGATGGCACTTCTAAACAAAAAGTACATCAAGATTGTAACTTCTTTTCCTCCACAAGATGGCAATATGGCAAGGCCTTCTTAAATCTTCTAAAATCTTATCTATGGTGTCTTAGAAATCATCTGCATTTAAATATCTCCAAATGCAGAATAGTAACCTTTAGCCGTCGTTCCACCAAACTATACTAAGTGACATATAAATCCGAACACCCAGTTGAAATGGTTTTATTTTAATAAAAGTTGGTGAATGTATTTATCTTACTGTAAATAACAAGTGAAAAAATGTTCAGTCTTATCAGTTGGACATTCCGGTTTTTATACTGCTTTTTTTTAATTCACTAACGCTCTAAAAATGAATATTTCAGCCGCAGTAAAGAATCAACGTTGGCGGATTTTGGTTCTTGACATCCTTTACGATCGGTTACGATGTCTAGAGTACGGAGACCTGTACGATATCGTCAACTTAGTGAGTTTGATAGGGGCCGTATAGTGGGACTTCGGGAAGCTGGACTTTCTTTTCGGGCAATTGCAGTTAGAGTGCAAAGAAGTGTAGACACTGTGGTTAGGTGTTGTCAGGCATGGCTTCGAGAAGGCCGTACGCAAAGAGCACGGGACACTGGACGTCGCCGTAGAACAACAGACCGTGAAGATCGCCGCCTAAGATTATTGGCCTTAAGGGACCGTTTCTCCACTACCAGGTCCATTGCAAATGAATGGTTTGCAGAACACGGAAGACCTATTGGCATGCGAAGTGTTTACCGACGAATGAGAAGTTTTGGCTTGTTTTCATACCGGCCACACTGGGTCCTCCCTTTAACTCGAGAACAGCGACGTAATCGCCTTGAGTGGTGCAGACAACGGTCACTCTGGGATCAGGAATGGAACAGTATTGTCTTTAGTGACGAGTCTCGATTTTGTTTAGGCATGCACGATGGTCGTGCCAGGGTTAGAAGGCGACGTGGTGAAAGGAGGAAACCACAGTTTTTTGTTGAAAGACATGTTCGTCACACTGTTGGAGTTATGGTTTGGGGTGCTATAGCTTATGGTTTCAGGTCACCTTTAAACTTCATCAGAGGTAACATGAACGCGCAGCGTTATATCCACGAAGTTCTAGAACCCCATCTTTACCCTATCTTCCCCATCTTTACCCTATCTTGACACCCTGGCAGATCCAACTTTCCAACAAGATAATGCCCGACCACATGTTGCAAGAGTCACAATAGACTTCTTTCAACATAATGATGTCACATTGTTACCATGGCCACCAAGATCTCCCGACTTATCCCCAATTGAGCACGTGTGGGATATGATGGGTAGGAGATTGCTCAATTTGCAACGTCCTCCTCAGACTCTAGAAGCACTTCGAGAGGAGTTGGTGGTTGCCTGGAATGAGATACCACAGGAGGACATTGACGGCCTGATCAGAAGCATGCCTAGGCGCGTTGGAGAATGCGTAGCACATTAGGGTGCATCCACACATTATTAAAGGTCAAAGGGCTTTAAAGCAGTACAATCATTTTGAAATTTTTATTATTTACTTATTATGCTTCATTAAGTACTTATACAAAATTTTATTAAAATAAAACCATTTAAACTGAGTGTTCGGATTTATATGTCACTTAGTATATATCCTCATACAATTATTGGTACAGACCTTTCGAGAACTGACTCAATGAAAGAGATCTAGGCGTTTGCTTTGACAGACAGTTAACATTCAACTCACATATTAATCAAATTATTATGAATGCGTTTCGATCATATGGCATTATCATAAGAAACTGTAAGCTTTTTACTGATCTGCCGGCACTAACTTTATTGTATTCTAGTCTAGTCTGGTCGAAATTAGAATACTGTTCACAAATGTGGAACCCAATTTACAATATTTATAAAACATGCATCGAAAAGGTTCGAGAAAAATTTCTAAAGTACTTATCTTTCATGTTTGATGGGGTATATCCACAAACAGGTAGTGATTATGTAATGCTTGTGAACAGATTCAACTTTCAAAGTTTAGAGAGCCGTAGAGGTCAAGGCATCTGTTTTGTTTTTGCATAAACTGCTAAATGGCAAAATTGACTCTGTTGACCTGTTATCACAGCTAAAGAGCTTTGTACCGAGACTTAATGCTAGAGATCATTACACGTTTTTATGTAAAAGAGCTCAAACAAATATATTAATGAAAGCACCTATTAATCAAATCTGTGCAAGCGCGAACTAACTGTCTAACGTCTGTGACATTTTCTGCTGCAGAAATAAGAACCCAGTGTCGTGTCAATTTGTAGTTTCGCTTAAGTTAGTTTTAGGTAAATTTACTACATTAATTGTTTTTTATTACCCACTGCTCTGTAAATGGTGTATACTGTTGGGCAATATATTATTATTATTATAACGTTTCGTCACTCGTCCTCAATCAGAATTTGTCTTATAAACGACATACTTAATTTTTGGACAAGTTAATAGAGTTTTCAATTCTCATTCTAAAACTGTTATATATTGAAATTTTCAAACATTAGTTATTAATAATTGCATAGGCCTTGAAATTTAATGATACAATATTGTACATATGATGACATGGATTGATATTATAAGACCCAAAATGTCTAAAAAAGTAATTTTCATATAGTTGGTCTGAACTCATCGAATACAGAACAACCTAATGCTTTAACTTTCCTAGATTATTTGAGGGTCGTACTGAAAATATTGGAAACAGTATTAATCAATGTAACCGATGGAATCTTTCGTCTATCTTCTGAAGTACGCTAAACTGCAAAACTTCCATTTTCTTCATTAACTCCATATTGAATAAGTAATCAGATCGAGCCTCCGTACCATGGGCGCATGAAGTGGGTAACAGGGGACCGCTGTTTTCATTCTCTTCCTGGAAATACTCTAACAAATTTAGCACGAGCTGTCGGCCTTCTCTATTGATCGTATTTCCGGGCATTGTACAATTTTATATTGAAGATTGATAACAGGACAACTAAAATTCACATCGATGTCAAGTAAGTTGTTGACAAATATGATTTAATGGCACTCACGTAACAATAAAGTAGTCGGCGCTGGTAGTCTCCTGATTTGACGCCATTAGACTTTTTTCTATGCGGCCAATTGAAATCTATTGCATTTACTCCCCAACCTGAAGGTTTGGATGAATTTCGCCAACGTATCATCGAAAGCTGCCATGACAAATGTTTTTGAAAATGTCCGTTAGGAATTTGAAAATCGCCTATATCATTGTTTGGCCAATAACGGGCAGCATTTTGAACACTTATTGAAATAAAAAGTGATATTTCAGTGTGTTTTTGTTTTCTGTCTGAACAAATTAAGATAAACAAAAATTTTTCTAATTGTCTTGAAAACGAATCTACCGATTTAAAAAAATCAAACGTCAAAATAAAGGCCTTTCAAACAAGCTATTACTCGATACGACTTGTCATTTAAAATTTTCAAATCTTTAGACGTGTCTCGGCGTTTTGTCCTTTAGTCAGTGGTTTTTGATAAATCCGTAGTGAAAAGTTGTACAATGAACACCCTGAATGTAAATACTGTTTCATCTGTTTTGGTGTTGGAATTTTCGCTCTGTTTATACATTGGAATTCAAACCGTATCACCCTTACCCTTATAAAATACAGACTTAATGTCTTAGCACCTACCGTGGTCATTATCAATATCGTCTTGGCATTCTTGTTCCAAAGGTATACTGCAATCGGATCCGGCCCATCCCTGTATGCATACGCACTTATACAGCCCTTCTTCCAAAGTGCACTGTCCGTGGCCTGAACAACCATTTTCACAACCAGCTGTAAAGGAAAAGGTATGTTAGATATTTAGGATTTTTTGCGGACCCTTTACAAGATGTAAAAAGTTTACCAAATGCTCGAGGGCAAAAATTTCTTCAATATTTATTTTCCAGTATACCGGGTGTTTCAATTTCGACTCGCACTATTGGAATTTGGAAACTGGGGGCAAAGTTGAGTATTTAGGTAATTAAAAAAATGACGCTTAGAAAGTTTCGAAATTCAAAGTGCATCCAGAGAGAGACAAAAAGACCGGATTTTCCCAAAATCATGTTAATTTTTTCCTGATTGCACATTAACATTGTACTGCTACTTTTTCTCCTATACAAGATGCCATATAGAGAATTTCAATACGATGTTTCGTCCCTTGTCCTCCAGCATCAGCTATATTTTTTTTACACGCCTTTATTAGCTTGGCCTGTATGTATGTTTGTAGGTATGCATGTAACGGAATGTTTGAGAATAATTTTTACAAATTTCCAGGAGTTTGATTAATTTGGAACCTGGCACACGTATCAAGGACCGATGACAATGCAATAATTTGATAACAGTTTTCCATTATCCTTATTAGGACCGCCAGGATTGATAAATTCTAGGGAGTAAGAGAGATAGAGCTAGCGCGCCATATGCTCATGCATGAAGTTTTTGACTTACTCTTTATTGGTTCGGGCATTCGGCACAGCACAATGGAGGCAAATACTTTTTCAAGGTTGGGTTGCATTTTACTACATTTTCATAACTCTCCTCTCATAGATAGTTGCCAATAGAATGAATGTAACTTTTAATATATCAAGCACCCCACGCTTTTTACTTTGCATTGAATCATTCTGTTAATAACTTAAATTTTATTATAATTTTATTTTGAGATCATTAATTATGATTGATTGTTCGACCATCTACTACTGTAATATAAACCTGTTATAATTGAAAATTATTTTCTACTTTTTAGTTCGGTTAGCTATAAAAGCGTGTTTTTACTGTTTTTAAAATATTATTCATTCTTATGAACGCTATATCGGATTTTTGCAGAGATGAATAGAGTTTTTAATTCTGATTTCAAAAATGTATGCCATACAAATGGCATTGAATAACCTTAGTTATTTAAAAAAGCAGAATTTTCCAGGTAGGCCTTGAAATTATCAGATAGTCATTTGTTTTGCATACCAGATTTATCGCAAAATCATTTTTATATTTTCCTGACATCATTTGTGATGGAATTTTGAAATAAATTGCATGTCGCAATTGCCTAGTCACATTTTCAATTCTAGGCTTCTTCTTTAGACTTCCATCACCAACTTTCTTTTTCATATGGACGTAATATTGGTATTTTGTACATTTTAATGCAGAAAACTGAAAACAGTAATAAATTCAGTGATGTGTTTTTTTAGGCCATCATTTTCTTGTTGGAACACAAATTATAAGGAGATAAAAAGTGAAGGTGCAACCTGAACACAAAAAGAAAGTTGATAATAATTACAAAAGCAATCATAAGTAAGCAGAGGTTATGTTGTAGGCAAATCCTGACTCTTCTCTGTACATTCTTCACTGCTCATTTTGTTTCCGTTCTTCTCGGTCTTCCAAACTCCGTTAATACGTTCAATTTGAGGTTTTGGTCTGGCATACGAAACAAATGAGTATCTGATAACTACAAGGCAGTTTATTTTGAAATCCCACTACAAATAAAGGCAAGATAAAATTAAAACGATATCGGGATGATTCGGATTTTTCCTTCTCCCTCCGGGAAGTACTCTGAGTTTAAAAAATGCCTAACCGATATCTTGTTAGATACCTAAATACGCAACTTGGCTTCACTTGAAGTCGCTTCGTATCTCTTACCGCTTTCGAGATCTTAAAGGCGAGAATCGAATTTGAAACAGCCGGATTACATGATTTTGATGTGGACACGTATATATATAGAATGCTTCTTATATATTAATGGTTAATCCTTAACAAATCATATCTCCTTCAGTGGCTTGATAAGCAGTAACCACTATGCTGAAATTCCGATAATTTAAATACGAAATGAGTCTAGAAGGTTACTAAGAAACATTTTCAAGCATCACTAATTAGGAACTGTTGCTCCATAAGGTATAGTGACCTGTACTGCTCTTTGAGATGCCCTGTATATTATGTAGGTTAAGTGGTATCATATATTTACTTTTAAAGCTAAAAGCTAGCCTGCTTTTTATGATCCGTACACACCAGAATAAAAAGTACATAACTTGAGATCCGTAAAAGCAAAATTGTTGTGTCATAAAACAAGGTAGTTTATATTCAGGCATCGTCCTATAGCATTCTACTTTTATTCCTCTGATCCTTACTTCGAGTGGTATGAAGAAATAATTCAAGGGAATAATACATTATTATTTTATAACAGCCTTTCATTCTAAAGCATTTTAAAAGCGCATATATGGACTACAAGTGGTTTCAGCAGAACGGCGCTGCCATACTAAGAATGTCATAATAAATATTCTACACGAACGATTTGTGGTGAAATGAATTGACCACCAAGATGGTTTACTTTGACTCCCTCATATTTGTTTCTCGTTCGTTAAAGTTGCCATTTATTGACGACCTCAAAGCCAGTATTACCCAGGGTATCACTCAAATTCAGCTGAATCTACGCCACAGTGTCGTTAAAAATTAGATCTCTTGAATCGTCGCACTATGCGAAGCCACGGCGGACACTTGAACGACATAAGGTGACATACCCAAATGGAAATTTTTTTCGTTAAAACGGCACACAAACCTTGTTTCGAAATAAGATAGCACAAAGCGCCATCTACCACTAGAATCGACCATTGCGAAAAAGATAGATCACACAGTCTGTATAGTGCCTAGACTACTCTGAGGAGTAGTCAAAGAACACGAAGCAGCTGTCCGTGTTTGACTGTCTCTGGTAGGATGGACGAAAGAAGTGTTTCCCCCTATAGCACCACGGCACCCCAAGGTGTGTAGGCCTTAGGCCTTCGTGGTAGTTGGAGTATAAAAAAAATATGATTGGCTATCCTCAGGTAGAATACGTTACATTGAAGAAAAATACTATCTTCCAGCTTTGTGATAACAGCCGTTTCATATCGGAGATTCCCAAAAATAAAATACCATCGTAATATGTTTTTCGTCAATTATATACTCAAATAAGATCGTATGTAATTTTTTATGTGAGAGTACAGTGCGTGGAGGAAGTTACGATTATATAGTATGTATAGTATGAGCTTATTCAAATTGAATCTCTAGATGATGAGATTCGAATTATTGTACATTATATTTTTAGTTCGCTTTTATCTTTTCTATGTGATATTTCGTTTCTTTACTAAATTAGTGGGTTACAATTCTGATACATGCGTGTATTTGTGCGTGATACTTTGTGTGAAATCCCATTATGTCTGGAGTTGCGATCATATGGTATCTAAAAGTTCACTGTCATTGTATGGCAACCGATAAAAAACATTTGAATGGCTTTTGCAAATATACATAATATATTTACGTAAAGTTGTACGTGATTCAAATGGCCATTCTCCATATTTTCGTGTAATTCCACCGATTTTTCAATGTTTTGAATTTTGTTTAACGTGTCATGTGAAGGTAATATTCTAGAGATACGATCTTCATCGATGGGCACTTTGTCTTTTTGCTACATTTTTTTTTGATACGACTTTCCAAGTAGCAGGTTTAATTTGTTTTCCTGGGTTGCGGAGAAACTTTTAGGTGTTCACAAGCATTTATGATTTACTCAGTCACACAGCAGAAAAGTAGGTATGGGATAACATAGACGGTTAATTAAAAAACCGAGTTTTTAAATTAACCGGTTTTTACCAATTATTTTATAATAGACGGTTAACAGGTTATCGGATTAAAAAGCTCATTAACCGGAACAAAGGTTATTTTGGCTTTTTATCTACAAAAATCACAATGACCATGGGCGTCTTGGATAGCACCCTCTGCTCTTCAGCATCCATTCTCCCTCCCCCTGCAAGATGAACATGGTCCTGAACATACATCCTGGTACCGGCTTTGCGCCTCCGCGACAGATTTTTAACCGCTTAAATTTGTTTCGGTTAACCGATGCCGGTTTGAGTTATTGAAAGAATAACCGGTCAACCTATAACATGTTTTTCATCAAGAACCGCCCATCTCTAGAGAAAATTAAATCCAAGAAAAGCTCCGTAAATCGATTCGCGATATTGTGGATCACGGTATCTATCGAAAACAAGTAGGCCAAATTGCAAATTATATCAGAATCTCCCGGAGATAGAGCGTGGAAAAGAATATAGAATTAATTATTAACCTCACCGGAGAAACTTGTAAACAAGATGGTTTTATTTCTTTCGTCAATCCAAGAGGCAAAAATTAAGTTTTCTTCCCTCCCCGTAAAGTTCTAAACACGGTACTAACGTTAGAAGTTTCCTAAGGAAAAGTTTGGGAAAACTCGATTTTCTTACGTCAAAATTCCCGCCCAGGCCGGTAGTTTGTCTCGATTAATATTCTATTAGCGTCGTCTCCAACTCGCTCGAACAGATTTCTACGGAACACTAGCGGCGTGTTGTACACTAAAGGGGTAAGAAGGGCTTGTCCTCATGGGGAATTTCAATTTCGTGGTCATTGGAATGCTTGAGTCATATATTGAGTGGCAAAATACACGATTACTGGTACCAGATATATGCCAAAACCGATGGCTAAGACCTTCAGAAAATGGTTGGACCATTCATCTACAGGACCTTTTGTGATGTAGTTAACATAAAGTAGTTAAAATATCCAACATGTCAAACACGCGAAAAGTGGTCGGACAAAATTTTGATCACTCCATCGTCCATCTGGTGAGCATTCTGTAAAGCCAAATTCTGTTAATTGAACTCAATTTTGAAGATCAATAAAGGATAAAGCTGTCGTAATGTAATTTGGAATTTAGCCCTTAGTGTATCTGTGCCTTTGCATCAGATAACGTCGATGGTGCCTGTTCCATCTTCATCAATGTATTACAAGACGAGAGTTTTTTTGCAGCGCATCCACTTACAGCTTGTGCGCCCCGAGTGTAAAATAAATAAAACCATTGTATTCAAGTTTGTCAACTAGCCCAGTCATATACATTATATTTTCTCTGATCTTCATGCAAAATACATA